CCTCCTCCGTTGTTTAGGTTGTGTGAGAGAGATTTAGGGACTGCGCTCGGGGGGGGGTTCGTTCGAACCCCCGAACCCCCCTGCTACGGCGCCTGTATATATACAGTAAAATGCATAACGGTAGAATTTATGCTTATCAATTATGGATTCATATATACACATATTATATATCATATTATTTCACTGTACTAAAAACACCATTGTTATGGTAAATATAAATATATACGAGCTCAATAATTTTTAACCATCGTCTCCGGATATTCCATCTAGACAGCGCGTTCCAGTGCGATTTGCTCACCTGATCGGATAGTCTGCGACTGTTTAGCAACCCTTTCGTGAACTCCTTTGGTTCCGTCTTACATGCAAACTGCTGCTTCAATCTTATGCCCACCGCCGAATGTTATGCCTCCCTATGTGACGCCGCCACGAGCCGTGGCTTATAGACGAATCTTGCTGGCAGCCTTTGACGGAGCGGAGGTGCGTGCCGTCCTGCTTCTAGCAGTACATCGCGAGACCGGAGTCACAGAGCCGGCCGGGCGCACGCGTGGACCGCGGGCGGGCGGCCACGCCTTCCTCTTCTATGCCGCATTTCTGGACCCGCAGCGATTGAAGACTCGACAGACAACGCCCTCAATGACCCGTCTTGCCAGATCCGCTCTGAAGTCTGCGACCACATCCTCAAAATTCATCTGAAAAAACGGATAGCGGACATGACGCCGAGTGCCCCACAAAAACCTAATCTCTTAACGAAACACACACGAAGATCGGAAACAAGTCATGGGCTTTAAGTCTGAAAACACACCCAGTCGCTGATTTTGAAAATTTTATTTCTAGTCAAATTCATAACGAATAGCCAAAGGTACTCATAAAGATATTAGGCCAAACAAAAAAATACCTTTGGTTCGAGTCAACATGATTGTGAAAATCACTCGGTAGTAGGTCAGCGTAAAACTTTTTTTTTTCCTGCCAAAAACCATGGGGATGCATGGAATATAATTTTTTTTTCACATGTTAATATAGGAATATAGGAATATAATATTGAGACGCAAGCAAGTAAAACCAAGTGATGCGGCGCCAGCGCGTCTCCACAGCAATGGGGGGAGGGGAAACATAGGGGGGTCCGGGCCTGGTCGAACACTGGCAGCCAAGAACAAGTCCGCCCACCTGCAGCTACAACACACACGCATCTATTCACTATATATAACAAGCATCTATATATAGTTATATATGACTACTAGAATAACTATATATACGGTTATATAATAGGCAATAGATGGTGTGTGCTGTAGCTGCAGGTGCGGACTTGTTCTTGCTGCCAGTGGGTCGAATGGAATTACTTGCCGAGGTGCCTCTCAATTGCCAGTCAGCAGCAGCGTCTCCAAGCTGACTCACTCAGCCTGTTCCTCATCTAGCCATTCCCATTAAAAAGAAAAAAAAAAGTGCGCCATTCAGGATTTTCGGAATCTTCGTCTCTTTACATTTTCACGGAGAGAACATTCCTGCCAGGATCACAGAAGATATCTCTGGCCGCGCGAGTAGTACTGAACAAAAGAAGGCCAGCGTATAATTCGAACAAATGAACACTTCTGTACACCATGGATACCAAGAGTGCGAAGCTGTGGATGTGTATTTGTGCCGGGAAGGTGTTGAAATGAAGCGAGCGGCGATGCGAATGTTGCGATCACGCTTTCCCTACTGCCTCTTCTTAGTCTTATTCATGTTGCTTTGTGCACAGCGGCGTAGCGTGCGGTTTGTACTTTGCGTGTTGCAGGATGCAGCATTTGACTTGACTTACAGGTGATTATAGGCATAGATAGAGAAACATTAAGTCATTAAACTTTAGTACAATTTCGGTGTTTATTTACCATTATTTTTATTGGAGACGCTATCCAAGTGCTGTGGTGGATAATACCTAACCATCTGTACACTCTGGGTTTCCGAGCCATCCATCTCAGCACTCCTATTTCAACCTGCCCTCCAGTTCACTTCATGCTGAATCTATACCCAGTAACGTCCCGCCCCTCCCTGTTAGACTGTTGATAGATGCGCTTTTGCTAAACATTTAAGCGTTCTCCAAACAATCACAGTATCCATGACGACCATGATGAGTATGCAAACTTCACTCTTGTACAGCCAACAGCGTAGACAAAACTCAACGAATTTTTCCACAATAGAGCATCAACGCGATGAGCGCGGATTGCTAGAGTAGCATGGCAAGATTTAGTGGGTTTATAGAACTTCCAAACTTTTAACAACTTGTAAGTCAACTCTTTAATAAAAAGTGATTGTGTAACCAGATACTCACATTGACATTTAGGAAGCAATTATGAATTGCCAATATAAAGCTAAGTTTATAGAGATCGGTTGTCTCGAGTCCGTTCGGTTGCTCTCAGTGCTTTCGGTTTTATAGACGGACTGTTATGTTTCACTCCCGCCATCTAATTGCGTGCATTGATATAGTGAAAATGGCGTCACGGGCTGGGAAAAGAGGTTTGTTTGATCATAGATATAGAAGAAGAATCTTCTTCTATATATCTATCCATGGTTTGATTATAGATAAGTTATGCATATTTATCACTGCGTATTGCATTGTACTTAGTATGTCTACTATAGATTTATAGAGCGAAAGGGGCCTGGACTTAGAGTATGTCTTGTGGTGGCTCACATTATTCTCCACGATTCTGTCGTACCCACGCTGTTACCACTCTGAAAAATGGGGAACCCAGATCACGCCCAAAAAACCCGCCAGCAAACCACAGATCTCCAAAATAAAAGCGGCCATTCAGCGGCACCATTCGGACATTATATGAACTATATTGCCCTTTTATTTATTTATTATTAGTACTATTTATTTAATGAATTACCATAAATCTCACACTAAAAACAACAAATATAGGTCTAGATGTTACTAATGTTATTAGTATTATAAACTTTAAAGCATGTATAATCTATGAACACTAGTCACAATATAATTAAAATAAAATATAAATATTATTAATAAATATATATAATAATATAATATCTAAATAAAAATAATATTAATAATAATATAATAATAAAAAATAAATATATAATACTATATAGTATAATATTATTTATTATTTTTTTTCAATTGTGTAAAGGAAAACTTGCGTCAGGGAACCGACTACTGGACAATAGACTGGGCTGAAGACTGTTGGGTCAGGGGACAATAACTGGTACCCGTCCTTTCTCACAGCTCGATATAGGTTCTATATCGATTGGGATATAGGCCCTATTCGAGCGTGCTTGAGAAGCGGACGGGTACCGGTCTATACAACAGTACAGCACAGTTAGTATATTGTGACAGCAATGCCACGTCTGTTCGGCTTTCCCGCCGTATGACTCGCCTTCGAGCTCCGCAGGGCGGCAGGGGAACTAAATTATACTCTGAGAATGAACTCCATGTTTTCCTATGGAACCAAAAACCCCAGATTGCAAGTGGAAAAACCCCAAACCCAGATTGCACTGAAAAAACCCCAGATCTGGGGTAAAACCCCAGGAGTGGTAAACACTGGTCGCTAACCCAAACTTGGAATCTGCGCAATCTCGAGATTTGCAGCGATTGTGCTGCCCAAACTGCGGGTCCCTGTTGCGCCTGACAATCTCAAGACTGGGCAAACTGAAAAACAGTCGGTGATTCAACAACCGTCAGAGCGAGTGTGTGGCGTTGACATGAGTGCAAACAGGAAGAGATTATCTCATTTTATCATAGTATTTATTAGAATTATTTTAATAAATAAATTTTTAGTTTTATACAAAGGTGCCAAACACATTTGAGGAAAGAAGTAAACAACCAGCCCGTAGCAGCTTTCTATTGGGGGGGTTCGTTTTTTGATGCTTGGCAATTTGATCGGCGGGCGTGTACAGGATTTGTACCAGGGGGGGGTCTAACCGCAGGACCCGTAGCCAGGGGGGGTTCGGGGGTTCGAACGAACCCCCCCGAAGCCCGTCCCCCCCCCCACCCCCACAAGCAAAAAAAAAAACAATTGAAAATTTTGCAAGAATTTCACTCAGGTCGCTCCATTTTAGTGTAATAATTGCAAATCTCCATCGTGCGAGGAGTGAACAGTGAAACACCCCCTTCCACACCCCTCCCCGTTCGCGTCGCTTGGCTCCCTCGCCTGGTTCGCTCTCGCGCCGAGCAGGGGCGTGTTTTGGGGGGGTCCAGGGGTCCACCCCCCCCTTGCTCGCGCAGAAAACGCCATTGAGGGGTCGTCTAATTATAAAAAGTTGCGAGCACGCGAAGGGGCGGTCTGGGGCTGTTCCCCCGAAAAGTTTTTAAATTAGACCCCCAGATGCGTTTCTGCGCGAGCCAAACGGAGTGTCCGACTCCCTGACCCACCGTGTACACGCCCCTGCTCTGCGGGCGCGAAGCGACAGCGGAGGGGAGCCAATGCGAGTCCGAGCGGGGGTGAGGGTGTGGGAGGGGTGTTCACTGGTCACCCTCCGCACGATTGGCAGATTGCAATTATTACACTAAATGGAGCGACCTGAGCGTGAAATTTCTTGCCAAAATTTCAAAATATTTTTTTTGTATGTTGGTGGGGTGGGGGCGGGACGGGCCTCGCGGGGGGTTCGTTGAACCCCTAAACTCCCCCTGGCTACGGCCTGTACACCTTATAGTTATGATATAACATTTAAAAATCCTACATATCATGTAGTTTGTGCAAGCCCTGTTTACCTCTGTTTGCCCAATCCTCAAATCGTTGCCCCAAACTGCAGAATGCGCTGAAATCAAGTTCTGTGCAGATTCCAAGTGGGCACAACAATTCCAGCGCTTTAGAAATTGTGCCCAAGGATAGAGAACATGGGTTCCATCCAAACCAATGTCGCCTAACCCTAACCCTAAAACCTAATTCTAACCTTAACCCTAACCCTAACCTAACCCGTAACCCTAACCATACCCTTACCCTATATTTTATATTGATATAATATTATATTTATATTGATGTAAATGACATTGGTTTTATTGCCATATTGGGACCCATGTTCTCTATCCTTGAACCGAAATGGCCCCATGGGCACTGTGGCTCTCTGCCACTGTCACTGACAACTGACAGTCATAGTGCGCATGAAATATACATGTGTAGAAACTACGGCCCGAGTCTAGTTAAGCACCCCAGATTGGTGATAGTGTAGCATATATATGCGAAAACACATTGCCGGGACGACAGATATTAATGTCACGACAGAAACCAACTTTTTTTTTCTTTTATCCCTAAACCAACTAAGGCGTGCACCACTTCCCTTGGCAAAAATTTAGAAATTATACCAGTCACTGGCATTGCAAAGGCCATGGTGTAATTGTCTGGCTTTCATATATATACATGTACGATTTAATTTTTATTTATACAACCTCAATGACACTTTTTTCTCATCACCCACAGGTCATGGTAGACGGGAACACCGGCGGGAAGCACAACTGCCACTTGGCGAGACGGATGCAATCGAAGTCAATGAGAGTTCTCCGGTGATCATCGCTTTCCGGGGCTTCCAGACGCAGCTAGATGCGAAGTACGACAAGCATGAGCGATTGGTGAAGAAGAGCAGAGACGTTACCATACAGAGCAAGCGTATCATCTTCCTATTACACAGATATGTTGGGTAAGAAAGTGTATGAATCTAGTATAACCCCATGGTTCTCCTTGGGAATTTCCGAAGGCATGTCAGGCAATCGGGCAATTCATCCCCAAATCGGATTATTTGAGTCAATTTCGCGTGTGTCGTAAGCAGCCTCAATGCGGAGGTGGTTTATTCCCGGTTGGCCTACTCCCACTTCGCTTATGGCAGAATTCCCAGTTGGTCTACACCCATTTTGCTTTCTCCCAATTCGTCTACGCTAAAAGTCCACCCCATTCCCATTTTGTCTACCATTAGTTTGTCCACTAAATAATCATTTATCAATGTAATATAAGGTTTTTATTAGCGTACATAGACTATACGGAGTGACATCCACATTAATTTCTCTTGGTATTTGTTGTAATATCAATACTACGACGAAACAGCACTATTACCCATTCTGAGAGGAGACGAAATGGGAGTAGGCCAACTGGGATGTTACCGCAGAGGTAAACTGGATCACTTTGGAGGCGTATAAATTAAGCTGTGAAAACAGCTGGGCTTTGTTTGGATTGTCAAAATTAAACACAGCTGGGAATTAACGCATGTCGATTAGGCAATTAAAGCATGTCAGTGGGTTTGTGGGATGTCACAAATTAGCTTCAGCTTTGAAGGCATGTTGAACCTGACGTGTGGTAAAAGCCTAGGGAGAACCCTGATACCCTTTAAATATAAATAAGGAATTATACCCAAATCTCTAAAACTGAATTAGCTTAACATGTTGTAATGTGTCAAACGCTATAAAACACAATAACAACAAGAGCTAATAAATTACATACTTATTAATATATATATTAAAATATATATATAAATTATAAATATTATACATTATTAGCTCTTGATAACAACTATACGATTAGTCTGACACGCATAACCCTCATAATATATTTTACATATTTTACAAAAATTATTGAGAGATTGCTACCACTGTAGCTATCAGCCTTGTTTGGAACTGGAAGAACATTCACTATTCAAATCTAGATGTGCAGATGCCTATTAAAATAAGATGGCCGGGGCAAAACAGTGTTGATGACATTGATGATTTATAGGTAATGTAAATTATGGAGTCTGGTCTAATTATTCCTAGTACATTAATTACCTCTATGCGGTACGTAATTATATGTTGCAGAAGTTCGAATAAAGAAGCCGTACTGAAAGAGGCTGAGCAAAAGCTAGAAGAAGTTGAGCAGTCTTTCATCAAACAGATTGCACTCGAGTTGCAAGGGGAAGATGTTTATCTATATCTCAGGGCGATTTCTCCAGGTATGCTTCCTTTCCTCGTTTTTCATGTGATACCTGTGAGTCTTTAATGACGTTTATATAGAAGAGGAATTGCATAGAAATATTAAAAATAAGTTTGAATTTCATATTCCAAAATTTTTATTTAAAATTGACGATTTCATGAAGTATTGAATTCTTCCATGAATAAAACATCCTCGTTTGTCATCGTGACTTATTTGTTTCAGGGTTGCAAGAATATGTTGAGGCTTTGTCATTCTATCACTATTTAACTACCAAGTCTCTCATCACCTTGCCAGAAGTGCAGAGCAGACTAGAGTTCGATTTAGGAAGTCCGTGCCCAGAGGCAGAGGTAAATTTCCAGATTATTTTTGTTCTACATTTGGGGGTGTGTGCGTATATGCGTGCACATGTGCCGACTAATTTATCGATTTTCAGTACACACGTTCAGCCGCATGTCTTTGTATGAACCGATTATCCACCATCTGACTTGTGACCCTGCAGACTGACCAGATATACTAGTGGCTCCAGCTGTGTCTGCAGAATCTTATATCTCCCTCCGTTCGATCGTGCAAACGACGATACACGATCTCACCAATTCTCTCCTCGTAGGCTGAGCGTAGCCCGGCGGTGTCCCCTTTTCTCGCTCATATGTTAACCTTGAACGCACCGCACAATCGCATGACCACACGCCGTCTCTATTCTCCCCTTCCCCCACCCCCGCAGACTGATGGCAGCTAAGCGGCGCCCCCTGTTGCGCGCTTAATATATCAACTGACACCGCACCGCACATAACATGTGCATGAACTATCCCACCACGTCGTCGTCTCACCCGCCGTCTCTCTTCTCTATCTCCGCTCGCAGCAGACCGACGCGGACACGACGGCGGCAGCATCCGCATCCGCGGGGACGCCTCCGGTCGCGCGCGTCCCCCTGCCAACATCGGAGTTCATGCTGGGCATCGCCGACCTCACGGGCGAGCTGATGCGACTCGCGATCTCCAGCCTCGGCGTCGGCGACGCCGCGCGCCCGTTCGAGCTGTGCGGGTTCATGCGCGCCATCCTCGACGGGTTCCTCACGGTCGGCGGCGCGGCGGCGTCGCGTGAGGTCGCGCGCAAGGTCGCGACGCTGCGCCAGAGCGTGCACAAAGTGGAGGCGGCGTGCTACGCGCTGCGCGTTCGCGGCTCAGAGATGCCGAGTCATCGACTCGCAGACGTGTTCCGCGAGGCAGAGCCGGCGGCCCCCGACACGGAGGTGATGTGAGGGAGGAAGGGAGGAAGAGGGCAGGGGAAGAAGGGAGGAAAGCGGGAGGAGGAGGGCAGGGCAAGAAGGGAGGAAGGCGGGAGGAGGAGGGCAGGGGAAGAAGGGAGGAAGGCGGGAGGGAATGGAGGAGAGGAGGTTCCGAGAGGCGGAGCCGGCTGCCGACACGGAGGTGATGTGAGGGAAGAGGGCGAGTGAGGAAGGCGGGAGTCGAGCAAGTAACCGAAGTGTGGCGCAGCGCGTTCCACAGCATGGGGGGAGGGGAAACTAGGGGGGTCCGGGGGCCTGGTCGAATCACTGGCAGCAAGAACAAGTCCGCACCTGCAGCTACAACACACACGCATCTATTGACTATATATAACAACATTATATATAGTTATATATGACTACTATAATAACTATATATAACGTTGTTATATATAGTCAATAGATGCGTGTGTGCTGTAGCTGCAGGTGCGGACTTGTTCTTGCTGCCAGTGGGTCGAATGGGAATTCTTGCCGAGGTGGCCTCTCAATTGCCAGTAGCAGCAGCGTCTCCAAAGCTGACTCACTCAGCCTGTTCCTCATGTAGCCATTCCCATTAAAAAAGAAAAAGAAAAAAGTAGCGCCATTAGGGATTTTCGGATCATGTCGTCCTCTTTACATTTTCACGGAGAGAACAGTTCCTGCAGGATTTCACGAGATATCTCTGGCGGGAGTAGGTATGAACAAAGAAGGCCAGCGTTATAATTCGAACAATTGAACATTTCTGTACACATGGATACCAAGATGGAAGCTGTTGGATGTGTATTTGTGCTGTGAAGGTGTGAAATGAAGCGAGCGTCGAGCGAATTTTGCGATCACGCTTTCCTACCTGCTCTCTTAGTCTTATTCATGTTGTTTGTGCACAGCGCGGGCGTGCGGTGTACTTGCGTGTTGCAGATGAGCATTTGACTGGCACTTACAGGTGATTATAGGCGAAATAGAGTAGAGAAACATTAAGTCATTAAGACTTTAGTACATTTCGTGTTTATTTACCATTAATTTTTTTTATTGAGACGTTCCAAGTGCCTGTGGTGATAATACTAACCATCTGTACACTTCTGGGTTTCCGAGCCATCCATCTCTCAGCACTCCTATTTCAACCTGCTCCAGTCATTCAATCTGAATCTATACCCAGTAACGGTTAGACGTGTTGATAGATGCGCTTTTGTAAAATTAAGGTTCTCCAAACAATCACAGTATCATGAGTATGCAAACTTCACTCTTGTACAGCCAAACAGCGTAGACAAACTCAACGTAATTTTTTCCAACAATAGAGCATCAACGCATGAGCGCGGATGGCGCGGATGCTAGCACTAGCAGTAGCAGTGGCAAGATTTAGTGTGGGTTTATAAACTTCAAACTTTTAACAACTTGTAAGTCAACTCTTTAATAAAACGTGTATTGTGTAAACCGATGCTCACATGACATTAGGAGCATTAGGAATTGCAATATTAAAGCTAGTTTATAGAGATCGGTTGTCTCGATGCCTTGGTTGCCTCTCAGTGCCTTTCGGTTTTTAGACGGACTGTATGTTTACTCCCGCCATCTATTGGTGCATTGTATAGTGAAAATGGCGTCACGAGCTGGGAAAAGAGGTTTGTTTGATCATACTCATAGATATAGAAGAAGAATCTTCTTCTATATCTATGGTTTGATCATAGATAGGTTATGTTATTTATCACTGCGTATGCATTGTACTTATATGTCTATCTATAGATTTATAGAGCCGAAAGGGGCACGTGGATAGAGTATGTCTGTGTGGCTCACTTATTTCTCCACTGATTCTGTCGTACCCAAACTTGGAATCTGCACAATCTCGAGATTGTGCAG